CTCCAGGGATCGAAACACAGGCAGGACTCATGACTGTGGGATCTGTTTCACTGAGAAGGTCTGGCCTGGGATATGCTCGCTCCCCTCTCCCCAAGGTGTGGCTGCAACGGGGCCAAACGTAGGGTGTCCCCCACTGACCAGGCCTCCTTCCCTCAGGGACAGGATGTGGTTTCGCTGTATAGGCATCTCGAGGCTGGGCTCCCCAGGCACATGCGGGCACAGGCAGTTCCTGGGTTACAGGCGGGAACTAGCTCGAACGAGGTCAATCAGGGCAGGTGTAGATGGTTCTTATTTGGCCTTATTTTAACACATTTTTTTAAGAAAGCTCAGAGCCCTCTCAATGGTTGAAAAGTTGCACGTGCAGCCAGTGGGGTGGTGCGTAGGGGCCGCCGACATTATCTGGCAGTAAGGGGACATCTGCACAGCAGTGGAGTGCACACAGGCTCAAGTCGGTCCTCGGCTGACCATGGAGCAGCAGAAAGAACAGGACCCAGACAGCGGGGTGCTGGGCAGGTTCTCCACACCCCGTGACAGTGGCGCAGACGCCGAGGTGGAATCAGGAGCCTGAGGGCCAGGCGGCACCCTCGCCCTTGGCCCCCAGCACACACAGGCCTGAGCAGGCAGCGTCCAGCAGCTCTGAGGGTGTCCCTAGGAAGAGTCCAGCCTCCCGCAGCTGGGGGTAAGGGCAGGGCAGCCAAGTGGTGCGAGGGTGCAGCTGCGACACCCACCCTTCTGGAACGGGAACATTTCCTCTCCTCCCTTCTGGAACCTTCAGGTCATCTGTGAACAGCTACTGTCCTAGTGAAGAAAACCGCACTGAGACGTGGCTCAAGTGCTCTACTGCCAATCAAAAGGCCAGCAGTTCAAAACCACCAGCCTGCGGGAGGACAGTGGGAAGTCCTTTGCCGTGAGGATTTATGGTCTCAGAAACCTGACAGAAGGTTGGTAGGCGTCAGAACCAGCTCCGCAGTGGTGGGCCATTTTCGTAGCTGGAGCTATGGTGTCATTGTGAACACTCGCAGCTAACCGAGAGGTTGGCAGCTTGAATCCACCAGCTGCTCTGCAGGACACGGATGAGGCCGTCCACCCCGATCCAGACAACAGCCTTAGGAATCCTGTGAGGGAGCTCTGGTGGCCCTGTGCTAAGCAGCTCCCTACAGGCTACACGGCAGGTGGTTCGAATCCACTAACAGCTCCGCAGAACAAAGATGAAACAGTCTCCCCCATGACAGTTCTGGTGGCCTCGTGCTAAGAAGCTGCCCTGTATCTCAAAGGCATGTGGTTTGAATCCCACAGCTCTATTTGAGAAGGACGGGTAATCTCCTCCCGTGTGATTTACCACCTCTGAAAACCCGCTGGATGGTCAGCTGGGTTGGTTCCGACTCGATGGCACATAAGGCGGTCTATGGGGCAGCTTTACTCTGTCCGTCAAGGTCACAGAAGTCAGCCTCAACGGCATGGTTGGGGTGCAGTAATTAAGTGCTCTACTAATAGGAAGATCAGCGTTTAAAACCCCCAGGCCTTCTGGGAGAGATTTCCAGCCATGGACACCCTGTGGGCAGTTCTGATCTGCCTTACACGTTTACTAGGAGCCGGATACTCGATGGCTGTGGGCTTGGTTTTTCCCAGTTTACTTCCGTAGCTGAAAGGACTGCAGAGCCCAGGCTCTGCATGGGCTCTGGGGCTGCCAGCCTCGCGCATGCCTGGTACTGAGCCCTCAGCCTGGGCTCGGGCTTCGCTTTCCCTGCACCGCTGTCACCAGCCTTTGCTGCCGAGTCCACAGCAGCTGCAGACGCTGTGACCAAGCGCAGTGACTACGGCCACCCAGTCCGCGCTCACCTGTAGTCCCGCAGCGTGAGGCTGGTGTACCGCACTGTGTCGTCCATGCTGCAGCTGACGAGCTGGCCGGCCTCGTCCACGGTCATCCTGGACACTTGGTTCGTGTGGCCTTTCCCAGCGAAGGAGTCGTTCTCTCCGGTCTCTGAGTCCCAGTAATGTGGGGTGGGGGCTAAGGAAAACCTGACCTCTGGGATTGGGGCCCGCTGGCTCTCTGCTAGGCCACGCCCCGGGCAGCGGGAAGACCAGCACACTCAAGACAGGACAGCGGGCCGAAGGGCCAGTCCACACACTGTACACCCACAAGACAACCCCGCTCTAAGTCGCAGCCGCTGAAGCAGGCGATACGGGGTGGTACTGACCCTGGGAGTCTGTGACCGAGACACCCCTTCAACCCTGCAGCACTCCTGTTCTCATCCCATGAACAGCGGCAAGTAGCCTGCGCCCCAACGCTCAGCTCTCAGCTCCCTGATGCCACCAGCGACAGCCAGGCTAGGCCACACTTCAGGGGACACTCAGTGGTCCGAGTCCAGACGCTCCAGGAGTCTCACCAACAACTCAGAGCCTCACTGTAAAGAGGGCCCGGGGCAAGAGATGCCCACACCTCTATTTGAAGTGGCACGGAAACGCCACGAGGGACTCGTCCGTTCTACCCGAGGGCTGCTGGGACGCTCCGGGCCCACGTGAACAAGTCTGCATAAACCAGCAAGTGCTCAGGGTCCCGGACAGTGGATTCCAGGGGGGCACCCAGGACCGGAAGCCGCCCTCGATGACAATGGGGTCCTGGAGTGTGTGTGTGCACCCTGCAGACGGCTGGCCAGTGTGGGTGCTGGCCCTGGGAGACGGCGTCATCTGTGCCAGGCCACAAGGAGATTCTAATCTTCAGGGACAATGTGTGGCAGACAGGCAAGGGTCTGACAAGTCACCCCGACACCTCCAGGGAACACCCTGGGGGCCACGAAGTGTGTGCCCAGAAACTGGAGCCTCAGCTCCTGCCCAGCTCTGCTGCCTACTGGCTGTGCACAGTTCAGGAAGTATCCAAACTCTCAGAGCCTTGATTAGCTATTTTTAAACAGGAGACTCCAGTGGAAGGTTTCCACAACCTTTCAGAATGAATGCACCATTATCCTTCTGTTCTGGCATTTCCAATGGCCTCTATGTCTGTGTGTCAGAGAGATAGAAACAGAGAGACAAAGAGACAGAGACAGACAGAGAGACAGTGAGAGAGAGAGACAGACACAAAGAGAGACAGAGAGAGGGGGAGAGACATAGACAGACAAGGAGAGACAGAGAGGCAGAGAGATAGACAGATAAGGAGAGACAGACAGAGAGACAGTGAGAGAGAGAGACAGACACAAAGAGAGACAGAGAGAGGGGGAGAGACATAGACAGACAAGGAGAGACAGAGAGGCAGAGAGATAGACAGATAAGGAGAGACAGACAGAGAGACAGCTGGACAGCGGGTAAGGGAAGAATCGATGCCTTGGAGCTGTGGTGTTAACTGTGGTGAAAAGCACTGAAATCCCACAAACTGTCAAAACTACAAAGTCTGTCTTGAAAAAAGTGCAGCTGGAATGCTCCTGAGAGGCACGGGTGGTGAAATCTGGTTTCACACACTTTTGGTCAGGAGTCATTCCTCAGAAAAGCACATTCTGGAAAGAGGAGGGTCAGCAGAGGAGAGGCCGACCCTCGATGGCTGCCCAGCAGCTGGAGCACGTCAGGGACCGTGAGGCTCAGGACCAGCCGGGGCTCCCTCGAGTTGTTCCAGTGAGAGTCACAACTGACGCAAAAGCACCTAACAACAACAACAACAGACCAGACCTGCTTCTGAGTTCTGGGACTAAGTGTAACGTCAAGACACGGATCTGGACAAGCCCAGCCCTGTGCAGCTCACAGGGAGAGAGGGGGTAGCAGCTCAAGGTCACAGAAGCTGACGACCCTCCAAAGGTCAGACAGTCCCTGGTGACCTCAGCTGCAGTGATCCCTGACTGAGCCCCGACCTCAGCAGACCTCAGGGGACAGAGCAGGGAATGGGCCCGTGGGCCTTGAAGCTGTGGCTGGTGCCACCTGGCTCGTCTCCCCGTTGGCACGGAGGCACAGGAAGCTGTCACCTCCCTTGCCAGTGGCCTGAGGCCAGCTCTGAGTCAGAGGATATTGATGTGCCCGTCGTGGCTCCCAGAGTAGATGTAAGACTTGCCGCCGTTCCTGTGCACCGTAAGACACTGGATCGACTTGCTGTGACCCTGGAGGAGACAGATGGGGTGAGTGAGTCCAGGACACGCCATGTGTCGGAGCCACTGCTCTCTACCAACTACCGCTGGCAAAGAAAGTGGCCAGGCGCCAGCCAGCATGTGACGTGAGCTCTGGGTGACTCTAGTGTCCAGGTTTCTGGGCCCCCCCACGAGGGTTTGAAATCCCTGCTTCCCGAGACCAGCGCCCACAGGCCAGTGTCCCGAGGTCTCTCACCGGCAGGGCCTGGGTACCTGCTCCCCGGGCCAGAAGCAGCTGTCGTAATGTCTCAAACGTCCATTCATCGGGAGAGCCTGCTGAGAAGGGACCTCCTGGTCCCCCCTCATCCCTTCAAGCACCCCATCTGTAGATTCAATCCCTGTACTGGCAGCTTCATAGGCTAAATGATGCCAGCCCCTCCTCTCCATCCAGGGTCACCCTGAGTAACCTCACTACACCAGATGCAGGGCCTAGTACAAGGGTGAACCGTAACCCAAAAAGGCCTGTCTGTGTCCAAGCCCGAGCCTGTGAATGTGGCACAGCTGGAGAAAAGCCTGTGCAGAGGTGTTAGAAGGATCTCATGTGAGGTCACTGCAATTACAGGGGTGACCCTACATCCAACGACTGTCCTCTCCAGAGACCCCAGTCAGACTCAGAGAAGGCCACGAGAAGACAGACAGATATGCAGCACGAGGAGCCCGGGACCCACAGGGCCACCAGAAGCTGGGGAGACCAGGAAGGACCTGCCCTCCGCAGGCTTCAGCCTGGCTAACCAAACCCAAACCCACTGCCACTGAGTCGATTCAGACTCACAGCAACTCCACAGGGCAGGGGAAAAGTGTCCCACAGGACACGGGAGACGTGTCCCACAGGGCAGCGGAGAAGTGTCCCACAGGGCAGCGGAGACGTGTCCCACAGGGCAGCGGAGACGTGTCCCACAGGGCAGGGGAGACGTGTCCCACAGGGCAGGGGAGGCGTGTCCCACAGGGCAGGGGAGAAGTGTCCCACAGGGCAGGGGAGAAGTGTCCCACAGGGCAGAGCAGAAACGTCCCACAGGGCTTCCAGGCTGTGGTCATCACAGACGCAGAGCGCCGACCTGATCGGCAGCCGGGGCCCCTGAACCACTGTGCGAGGAGGGCTCCCCTCAGCCCCGCAGACGCTCAACTCTGAGCTCCGCCCCGGGAGAACAGAGCTCCAGTCTCCAGTCTCCCAGGCCGCCCTTCTGTGTCAATCAAGGCAGCCCCAGGAAGCGTCAGTGTCTGGGGATGGGAGGTGGAGAGGCAGCATGTGCGTGGGGGGCCTGAGGTCACCCGGCCGGTCCTGAAGGGGGTAAGCAGCAGGGAATGCTGGACAGCGGGCCCTCCCACTGACGGTGAGCAAGGTCTCCTGAGGCTGTGGACGGTAAGAGTAGCAGACCCCGCAGAGTCGTGAAGTGCACGTGAGCCTGCTGCCCAGTGCCAGTTACAGGCCAGTGTGAATGCAGTGCTTAAGGACCCCAAGAGGGGCTGCTAACCAAGACATTAGGGGTTCAGGTCCACCCAGAAATACCACAGAGGAAAGGCTCAAACTGAGTGCCCAATCCTGCCACTGAGACCCTAAGCAGCACAGTTCTGCCCTGACATGTACAGAGGCTCTGGGAGCTGGAACTGGTCTGTGTGGGATCCAGGAAGCAGCCCTAACACAAAGGTGAGGGGTTCAAATCTACCCACAGATGACTACAGGGAGGGAGGGGCTGGGTCTGTCCCTGGAGCGGCCTGACAAAGGCCTGGCTGTTAGAAAGCTGAGCAGGCGTGAGCGAGCGGTGGAACTGACTCAGACACAGGAGAGATGCCCACCGAGGTCAGAGGAGCCGGGGGGGCCAGAGGACCTCGGGCTCCAACACTGTCCACCCTCCAGCTTCCCAAAGAGAAGAGTCTGAGAGAGGCTGCTACCACTGGAGTGGCGCTTCAGTGCCCAGCAGAGGGCAGAGCCCTGGCCCACGGCCTGCACACGAGGCAGACCCCCAAGAGCATGCAAGCTCCCTAAGGATGGAGATGGAAGTAGTTCAAGACAGCCCCCTCCATCAGGGTCCCAACCCCTGGGCCGGGACCCCCTCTTCCAGCACAGGACTCTCTGTGAAAGATGCTGCCTGACCCGCCTCCCCAGCTACAGGGTCGGAGCTCCTATGAGCTCTGCAAGGAGGTTGGTGGCCACTGCCCCTCTGGTGCCCAGACCGCCCTGAGCAGCTCAAGGCCTCGGCCTCCGGCCTGCCCTTCCGTCTGCCGAACACAGCACAACCAGAGAAGAGTCTTCTGAGGCATCGCCCAGCCTGGGGTGAGGGCAGCTCTGCAGGTCTCCCCACACCCTGTCCCTGGGGGGCCCCAAGCTGCCTGGCCTGTGCCGGTCCTCACCTTGATGACCCGCAGGGGTTTGCTGGGGTTGTTCTTGTCCAGGTAGTTGATGTAGCCCGAGAGCGAGATGCTAAGCAGGTGGTCCTTCTGCCATAAGCAGCCGAGCTGCTGGTCCAGGACGTTGGAGCCCATGGGGAACGTGCTGACCACTGAGTTCACGTTGACGTCCCAAATTTTGGACGTCTTGTCTCCAGAGGCAGAGAGCAACTGGGTGCTGTCTGGACTCCAGCTAATCTGGTGGGATAAACGGGGTGGCTCCGGTCAGGGGACTCAGTGGACCCCAGGAAGCAGCTCCCAAGGTGGAAGCCAGAGAAGCAGGGGACACATCCAGGTCACTGGCTTCTCCCCAGGGCACTGCCCTCCTCTAAGCAGCTTCGCAGCTCTGTATCCCTGTCTCCACTCCCAGCACCCCGAAACCCCAGCCCAGAGCTGCACAGCCTCACAACCCAGCACCCCTGTCCCCAGCCCCAGGACCCAAAACCCCAGCCTAGGGCTGCACAGCCTCGTAACTCAGCACCTCTGTCCACCCAGAAACCCCAGCTCTGTGCAGCCTCACAGCCCAGCACCCCAAAACCCCAGCATAGCACTGCATAGCCTCACAGCCCAGCACCCCTTCCCCACCCCCAGCCACCCCGAAACCCCAGCACAGAGTCACACTCACAGCGTAGATGCCGCCATCGTGAGCCTTGCCCTCGCCCAGCGCGCACACCTTCTCTCCCGTCTTCCCGTCGTAGATGTAGATCTTTCAGGAAATGAGAGTAGGTAGGTCAGCTGTGTGCGGACGTGTGTGGACACCCACAGAACTCGGCAGGACGTCACCTCTTTCCTGACTACCGTGTCTCCAAGGGAAGTCGGGGTTCTTACAAAAACAAGCTCCAACAAGGGCCCCCAGTCGGGAGCTCTGTTTAACAGGAGCAGACTGTAGCCACTCAGCTTGGAGGACACGCTCGATCCCTTCCCCTGCCTCCCGCGACTGGCCTGGCAGGAGGGGAGATGGTTTAAGCCCCGAGTGTCCTGGAACTGACCCCCCCATCCTCCCTGATGAGAGGCCACCTCACCTGGCCATCAGCGCTGGCCGTGGCAAACCTGTTCCCGTCGGGAGAGAACCTCACACAGTTCACGAAACGGCTGTGGTCCTGTGGGGAACGGGACAGTTAGCGACGTGGACAGCACACACAGCCCAGACACGAGGTACAGGGACGTACTCTGCCACGGAAGGTCCACTTCAAAGCTCAGGGGCTTTACAGACTCTGTTCAGTCCAGAGGACAATGTCTGAGCTCGGGAAACAAGACGCACCCATGGCAGCTTTCGAAGAAGCTGGCTGCTCCATGGGTGTGTGAGGCCTCCTGACAAGGCCACACTGCAGCCAAGCCTCACCTCACACAACTGAGCTGCGAGACCCCCTCAGGTAGAGGTGGAGGGCCTGCAGCACGAGGCCCCCTGCATGAGTCACCAGGGCCCCTCATGGCAGTGACCGATGGTGGGTGTTTGCTGTGAGCCACCAGCTTTAAAGAGTCAGGCTCACGACCTGCCTCAGGAGGAAGGGTCTGTATCACACGGAGGACACAGGGCCCGAGTCAGCTGGGTTGGGGGGGGTGTGTGTGTGTGTGCGCGCGCTTTCATCACATGGAGAACACAGGACCCGAGTCAGCTGGGTTGGGATGTGTGTGTGTGTGTGTGCGCGCGCGTGCACGTGCCAGTGCCAGGACCTGCCTCAGGAGGAAGGGCTTGCATCACACGGAGGACATCATTCGGGGGGTTGTGTGTGTCAGAGCGCAAGCTGAAGAAAATCCCAAACACAAGGGCTTCCCTCCCACCTACCCCCACAGCAGCAGGCGGCGTCACCGGCAGGGACTTTCCCCAAGTGTCAGGACAAGTCTCTGGGTGTGAAAACCTCCAGGAAAAACCAGAGGACTCTGCATCCCGCCTACCCCAAGCTGCCTGCTAGGTGTGAGTGAGGGCTGAACGCCACGTGCAACACATCTGCCGGCTACGTCCAGCCTACAGGGAAAGAATCCGCACAGCCCACGGACTAGGCAGGACAAACAGCTGTCTCCGGAGAAGTGCGGCTGGGGGAGCCTGAGAAGCAAAGTGCTCTGCATGTGTGTCATGGTGGAACAAGCAGAGATCAGAGAGAGAGACGACGTTTCCTGGGGGACTGGCAGAGTGACTAGAACGGGCTTACACACAGCCGACGGCGAGCGAGGCGCAGGACCGGGCAGGGTTCCCATCTGTCATACACGGGTCCCCAGGAGTCCAGAGCTGACAAGAGCACCTGACCACAGAAGCAGCAGCTGCCAGGCCTGGGAGGCAGAAGCGATGCCCAGGCTCCTCGGGGAGACCGCCATGGCACCAGATCCCAGGACACATTGGGACAAAGGAGCTCTCATCCCACCCTGGAGGGGACATCCAGCTCAGGCCCTTGGTCAGGCCCTTGTAACCAAGGCCGAGTCAGGCTGCCCTCTCATCACATCCAACGGCTGGCTTCAGACCACGTCCCTGGACCACAAGCAAGGCAGGAGCCTCACCGCCTCCGTGTGGCGGGTCCCCCAGGGGGCTGTCCCGGGTTGCTCACAGACCCAGGGTGGTCAGACCACGCTGACAGCCGCCTGCTGCAGAAGCAGGGGTGCGGTCAGCCCACTCCACTGACCGACCAGCACGCTGGCTCCGCGGCCTCGGGAGCTGACGAGGCCGTGGATGCTGCTGCTGCTGGTGTGTCCTGACTCTCTACACAGAGTGCCTTGTATGTGAAAAGCTTGTGAGCGGCTTTCCCTGGGCCACAGTTGGTCTCTATTCAGTGGCCATAGCAGAGGAAGGAGTGCGAGGAAGAGGAGGAAGTGGACCGTGTGGTTAATGGCCTCCCTGGTGGCCATCATGACTCAACAGCTCGAGGGCACCAGCCCCCACCTGGGACCAGTGGAAACACAGGCGTGGAGGTCACTGCTGGTCCTCACCGGGACGCTAGTTCTGGGACCACCTTTTCCACGTGGTGTCCCTGTGTACAGAGCTGGGGGTCTCTTCTGTAGGGAGCAGACACTGGGGTCACACGGAAGCCATCAGGAGTGATGGGGGCGGCCTCCTGTGCGCAGTGCCCACGGCGCTCTTTGGAGTCCCGCTGTGCAGCACTTCATGCTCCCGTGGAGGACAGAGACGCCTGAGGGCCAATGTCTGATGCTCTCGGGCCTGCTTCTGGATCTGGGCCGCATGGACTCCCAGCATGCTCTCACCCTGGTCTCTCCCATGGCCCACCCACCACCACAGCCTCCAACGTCTCCTGGGTCCCACCTGAGGGCCTTGGAGGGCCTCCAGGCCTGTGTCTCCTTGGAAAGGCGGCCCAGGGGGCTGTAACTCGAGCTACGCCAGCTCTGAGACTAGGGCTCCTGTTTCTCTAGGGCTCTCAGGCGGACAGAGACCAGATGCGCTGGGCAGGGCCGGGCAGCGAGCTGGGCGGGCCTGGGGCGTCCTCACAAGGAACCGCATCCTTGGCTCAGGGGTGGCTGCACACCAAGGGCCCAGTCACTGTCCCTACAGAACCCCACACTTTCAGAGGGAGCAGCCCTGGGTTTACACAGCAACCTGTCATTTTACCCACAGCCACTCAATCAGTCTCCTGTCCTAGTCCGGTGGTCCCGTGCCATCCTGACCCCTCTCCCAAGACCTAGACTACGCCCCACAGCCCTCAGGTTCCTCTGACATGTGCATGCCACTGAGAACTGGGGTGCTAGAGATCAGCCAGGCACACGTGCAGCCAGCCCTGTGTTTAGAGGAGGTCCAGTTTAGGGGAGGAGGCAGGGTGTCTCCAGAACGCTGTAATTAAGGTGAGGTGCTCTGGTGCCTCAGTGGTTAAGGAGCTGCACTTCCAATCCAAAGGTGTGCGGTTCAGATCCACCAGCTGCTCCATGAAAGGAAAGGCCATCTCCTCCTGTACAATTTACGGCCTCTGAAAACCCCCTACAACTACGGCCCAGTTCCAATTTGACAATACCTAACAATAACAGAAATGATAATTAAGGCGACCGTTCAATTCCAACAGGCTCCTTTCCCCTGGTCTCCTGGTGTCTCTGCTCCACACTCGGCTTACAGTCTTGCCCCATGACAGTGACCCTAGTGTGCAGCGATCCATGAGCCCACGGTAGCCGGAGTTCCCGTGAGGACGTGCCTGCTGCCCGACCTGTCCAAGCCGCAGGCCCGTCACAGCACAGAGCAGGGTCTGCTGTTAACTGAGCGTTTGCTCGCTGGCTGTCTGGCTGCCATCTCCGCACCATAGGACACTTGGTTAGTGGGGCCCTGTCTGCCTCTGCCCCTTCTCCAGCACCTTAAAACAACCCCCACAGGCCTGGGAGAAGCTGCCTACACCCCAGCATCTGGCTCCAGAACATCGCCCTGGACGGCCCCTCCACTCGGGTCACCTCTGTCAGCTGAGAGCAGAGATGAGCAAAGATGAACGTCTATTCCCAAAATAGTCACCTGAAGGGAGGCAACGCTGGATAGTCCATTCACCAAAGACAGAGGACTAAAAATAGCCCTGCAGGGAGGCGGGGTGGGGACGAAGGGGTGGGCGCAGAGCTCAGAGGCCCGCAGGCTCCACGAGGCCAGTGCTGGCCTCACCGGCGCAGCTGTACCGTCCTGCTGGGTCCTCACTGCTCCTGCCCGTCCTGCACTACAGAGACACTGTCAGCTCTCCCATTAGCCTCCAGGACCCTGTCCCCACCACCAAGGCCACCTGACACCTTGACCACTCTGAAGGTCCTGTGAGTGGAACCAGAGAACTGTGAAGTGGACCACTCAGGGGCCCCTCTGGGAGGAACCCCACCCCCAGGGGCCTCAGGTGCCCCAGCAGAGTACTGACAGACTGCCACACTAAACCATCTGTGTCCACTGCCTCGGCCACCAAGGACTCCCTGGGAGATGCTGACGGTTAAGTGGTCAGCATCGGAGCTGATGGTTTCGACCCGAGACACCTCGGAACAAAGTCCTCCTGCTCTCCAGGGGAACACCGCCATTGAGAGCCCCTTGGGGCACCGTTCTGCTGACACACCAGGTGTCCGAGGGGCAGCTTGTGAGGTGAGCTGTGTCCCTGAACCTGAGGTGCCCCCAGAGCCAGCCTCCAGGGAACTGAGATATGGCTTCTTCCTTCAGCTCCAAGCCCCACGTCCTGCCTGCCCTGTAGCCCCACCTTCCCTGGGATATGTGGGGGGCACGGTTCCTCCTCCCACTCCTACTTGGTAGGAAGCAGCGAGGACCCTCCTCTGACAGATCTGTTCAGCCTCCATCCTCCCCAGGGAAGTGACACACTGTCATACAGGATTGGAGGGGCCGGCTGGGAGCGCCTGTTCAGCCTCTGTGGCCTTGGCCAGGTCACTCAGCTCGCTCTGACCAGGAGGGACCATTAGCTGCTCAGCCCCCCCCCCCCAAGTGCACGTCCTCAAGGTGCCGGGTCATCAGGACCAAGGATGGGAGGATGGGGTGGAAGACAAGGAGGAAGTGGGTGACAAGGACAAGAGGTCACGGTGTGCCTGCCCAGCCCGGCAGAGAGCAGGCACCAGGAAACACTGGCAGACGGGGACTTAGAGTAAGGACGGAAATGGAAAACAGAGCGCTGAGAGCTGAAGCCGTAGGAAGGCGACACTTCTAATAATAACAGCAGCGGAGTGCTCGGTGCAGACGTGGGAAAGCCCACGTCCCGCGGCAGCTGTGATGTGTAAGACTACACACAGCTCCGCACACCAGAGCAACCAGGAGCTGTCACCCCCACAGCCGACACCAATGTGGACGGGGCAGCCGTCTGGGTGGCCAGCACCCTGGCTCAGGAGGCCTTGAGTGAGGAGACAAGGGTGGAGGTGCGAGTCCAGGGACAATCCTTGAAGAAAGGCCTGGTGACCCACCTCTGAGAAACCAGCCCCGAAACTCCCTGGAGCGCAGTCCGACGCGGACACTCACGAGGCTGAAACACTACCCTGCTGCTGTGTCCTCTCAGCTCGCTCTCCCCTTCTCTCCAGGAAGCCGAGATGGAAAGCAGAAACCCTGCCTCTCCGCCTGGAGCTTCACCAGACCTCGGACCTGGGGCAGGAGTGTGTGGGCGTGGTGTGTGTATGTGTGAGGTGAGGATGTGGGAGAGGAGGGGTGTGTGTGTGTGTATGCACGTGAGGGAGGAGTGTGTATACATGTGAAGTGTATGGTGTTGGGGAAGGGGGTGTGGGGAGGGGTTTATGAAGAAGTGTATGTCACGTGTAAGAGAGGGCGAGTCTCCGACGTCTGTGAGAACAGGGTGTGTACATGCGTGATGGGGGGGTATGTGTGACGAGTACAGGAGAGGTGTGTGTGTGGGTGTGTGTTGTCCAGAAGGGTATGCAAATGCATGAGGGTGGGATGTATGTGTGACGTGCAGGGGAGGAGTGCGTGTGTGACGGAAGAAGGGTGTGTATCTGTGATAATGTGTTCAGTGTGGAGGGAGGGGTACATACAATGTATGTGATGTGTACAAGAGTGTGTCTGTGTGATGTGTGTGAAAGATGTGTAGGGGGAGGGTACATATGGGTGTATATGGTGTGTGACGTGGGTTAAGTGTGTATGTGTATACGTGGTGTGTGAGGAGTGTGCATGTGTGATGCGTATGATGTGTAAGGAAGAAGTGTGCGTGATTTGGGGTGGGGTGTGTATGTGTGTCTGATGTGCGGTGTAGGGAGAGGAGTGTGTAAGGTGTGTGTGACGTGCAGGGGAGAAGAGTCTGCGATGTGTGGGGTGTGTAGATGGTGTGATACGAGGGAGGGGTGTGCGTCTGTGATGTGTACAGGTGTATGTGATGTGCAGGGCAGGTATCTGATGTGTGGGTGTGGGTGTGGGTGTGTCTGTGTGATGTGTGTATATGGTGTCATATGGGGAGGGGTGTATGTCTGTGATGTGTACGGTGTAGGGAGAGGAGTGTGTACAGGTGTATGTGACGTGCAGGGAGGAGTGTCTGTGTGCGATGTGTATACGGTGTGATACGGAGGAGGGGGTGTGTGTCTGTGATGTGTACAGTGTAGGGGTGGGGTGTGTACAGGTGTATGTGATGTGCAGGGCAGGTGTGTGTGACGTGCAGGGAGGAGTGTCTGTGTGTGATGGGGAGGGCTGTGTGTCTGTGATGTGTACGGTGCAGGGTGGGGGTATGTATAGGTTTATGTGATGTGCAGGGCAGGTGTGTGTGATGTGTGGGGGTTGGTGTGTCTGTGTGATGTGTATACGGTGTGATACGGAAGAGGGGGTGTGTGTCTGTGATGTGTACGGTGCAGGGTGGGGTGAGTACAGGTGTATGTGATGTGCGGGGCAGGCGTGTGTGTTGTGTGGGGTTTGTGTATGTGTCTATGTGATGGGTATGGTGTGGGGGGAATGGGGTGCGTTCTTGTGTGACATGTTGGGGGGTAGGGTTTGTCTGTTTCCCCAGCTGCAGGTCAGCTGGCTGCAGTGGGCACGGAACTGGCATGAAGAGTGGAGGAGAAGCACCATTCCACCTGGATCTCACAGGGAACAGGAGCCTGGCCTCCCCCACACCCACAAGGAGCTCTGAAGAGCCAACCCCATAGACCTGGGCTGTTCACAAAGTAAAACGATCTGAGGGCTGCTACCCGAGCTGGGCACACCGCCCCCAGGGACCGCAGGAGAAGAGTGTTCTGGGCTGCCCTGTCCCAGCCACATCACCAGGCCTGACACGTGGCCAGAAGGAAGGTGCTGGGAGCTGTACCTGGGAAGGCACAGGCAGCCCTGACCTGTGGATGGTGCCACACAATGAGAGCTGAGGCACCCATGGGGCAGGCCTCCTCTGTCGGAGACCCAGAACTCAGACCCGCTGCTGGCGAAGCGGTTCCGACTCACGGCAAACATCTTTGGGTTTCCGAGGACGTAACCTCGAGAGAAGACTGCCCATTGTCTTGTCTCCTACCGAGACCAGTGGATTGGCCTGAGCGGAGCCACTGGGTTAGGGCAATGCACTGCGGATGGCAAGTGTCTGCTCTATCAGAGTGGTTGCATGACCAAGTGGACACCCCCCACCCCATCTTTATGGAAGCAGAACAGCAGGCCTTCCCCCTAGGAGACATCTGGTAGATTCAAACCACCAACTTCTAACCTGAGCAATGGAGCACTTGACAGTGGGCACAGAGAGGCAGAGTCCCTGGCTGGACCTGCCACAGCTTTGCCCCTGGGGCCACAAGGCCTGGGATCGGGGCCTGGCCAGAGCACCTGTCACACAGAACCTGTGTCTACGTGCCTGAAAGGAGCCCAAACAGCAAACCCCTCAGGCCAGGGCTTTGACCAGAACCCCATCAGGATGGCGCTGACGAGAAAAGGGATGTTCTAGAAGGCCCGGACCACGCACTTGGGAGGACAGCAATGAGAGGGCTCAGAGGGCCTGGACATACCCCTCCCACGGCAGGTAGAGGGATCCCCCACACAGAAGGGAACCAGGGTGTGCAGACATGAGGGAGGCCAGCTTCTGCAGAAATAAGCCTCTTACCAGCCTTCTTCCTCTCCCTGCCCAGCAGATGCCGGTCTCTGACTCAGCACACCTCCTGTCTGTTGCACAGGACCCACCACCGCCCCCAGCGAGCACTGACCTCAAACCGTGGTCAACTCGTCAAAATCCCCAGAGCCTATGCCCGTCCTCTGCAGGCCAGCTCTACCTGCCTGCATCTCCCTCTGAAGGGAGGTATCCAGGTATTCAGGGTGTATCCCTGCGAGATACACCAGGATGTCCCAGGAATCCCATTTTCTCTTCGGGAGTTCCACTGGGCTAGGTCTGACGTTAGCACAAGCCAAGAGCTGGCTGACTGAAGCACCTGGACCTCAGGCTCCTCTCACACGTGACCTCTAGACCTGGGCAGTCTAGATGAACCACAGACGCACCACAGCTCAGCCCCCAAAACAAGGCAATTATCCCAACTGTCCTTCCTGCCAGGACTCCCGCCATGATAAGTGACCGTCCCCACGAGCCAGAGTCATGGGATCAGGTGCCCAGGGGCTGGTGTGCTCCCGCTGCACTGCCCAGCAAGCCAGTCTCCACACCTTGGCATCTCGGGGTGCCGGCCTAGACGCTTCGCCTTTGTTGATGAGACCAAAGCCAACCTAAGTGAGTAGCCGACTTACCCCAATGGTAAACTTGAACTTGAATGGTGGCCCCTCGAAGAAGGCAGCACAGTTATCGTCGCTGCCTGTGGCCAGTCGGTATGGCCTGGTCTGTTTGATGTCCACGCTGTTGATGACTTTGTTGTGTCCTGTGATCTCACCCACGGAAGAGCCACTGTCCCACAGGAAGACGGCACCAAACCTTTAAGCAGTGAGAAGGGTCAGAGGAGACAGTGAATCGAGGGAGCCAGGGTGCAAGGTGGCTGGGGGCGCGGGTATAGGTGGGGCAGCCCTGGTCCGCATCCGGGTCCTGAGACAATGCACTTATGGGGTCCTGTCGGGGCCCAATTCTGCCATGCAGCATGCCCTGAGGACACACAAGGAGGGGGCTGGCTGGACATGCCAGGGGCCAGCGAATCACACTTCCACAGTGCTCAGAGCGGGACACGTGACGTGGACAGCCAGCCAGTGTGGTCAGCGCTCACCCACGGCCCAACACACTGACACAGCCCACATGCCGTGCTCAGAGCTTCTCAGCATGGGGATACGGGGAGCAAGTCCACCTCCTACCCATGGGCACCCCAGGGGCTGATGAGCAAGGGAGCACAGAGGGCACTGTTCCCGGGGGGGCCTGAGAGGAGAGCACACTCAGGCCACGGCAGGGGTGGGCCAGCACTCACTTCTCCCGGCCCTCCCCGACCACGGCGATCCTCTTGCTGTCCTCGGTCCACGCGATGTCCTTGATCTTCCCAGCGAAAGGCTGGTACTCATACTTCAGAAGGTGCTCCTTCTGTGTGGTGTCCCAGATTCTCAGCTTCCCAGACACGTCTGTGGACACACGGGGCCGGGCCATGCATCAGCACCGGGAAGGGGAGCCCCTCCAGGCCCCTGTACTACCACGCTCACCAGGTACCCTGACACTACATTCTTATCATTACACACCCTCTCACAGGTCCCTGGACTATCACACTCACCACACTCTCACACACTCTCTCACAGGCCCCTGTCTATCACACTCACCACACACCCTCACACTACATCCTTCTCATTACACACCCTCTCACAGGACCCCAGACTATCACACTCACCACACACCTCACACTCTTCCACGTTCGTATCATTACGCACCCTCTCACAGGACCCTGTACTATTATAGTCACCACACACCCTCACACACTCTTCCACGTTCCTATACAGACTCACAGGCCCTGTACCGTCACACTGGCCATGCACCCTCTCACATTCCTCCACGTGCATGTCATTGTAGCCCTCTCACAGACCCCATCCTATCACACCACGCACCCTCCACATTCTGCCACGTTCGTATCATTACAGACCCTCTGCCAGGCCTCGTCCCCCCCCATACCGTCATATTCATACTATCACACACACCTTCCAACTCACACACCCTATGGTGTTATACTAAAAGCTGGCTTTTTTTAGCCGTTATAGTTAGTCCCACCGAAGCTGGCTTTTTTTAGCCATTATAGTTAGCCCCATCTGGTCTCCAACTACCTTAACTGTAGGCACATGGTCTTGCAAATCAATAGCTGTGGGACTAGGTAAGAGAAAGTGCTTCCCACACTGGGTAGTAAGACTTGAGGCGAGGAAGGCTTGTGGTGGAGACCCTTGTAAGAGAGAGACCCTGGTGGTAGAGGGACTGTGGCATTGCTGTGGACAAACAGTGGCAAGGTGTGACCTGAGGCGTCTTGCATTTGTGCTGGCCACAGTTAAAGGTTTGGCTGTTTTTACTGGAGAGGGACTGTGGCACTGCTGTGGACAAACAGTGGCAAGGTGTGACCTGAGGCGTCTTGCATTTGTGCTGGCCACAGTTAAAGGTTTGGCTGTTTTTACCGGATGTTTGAAGGGGAAGCTGATTTATAGCTGCTCTGAGGCAAACCTTGCTGGATGATTTGGATTTCACTGCTGAACTGAATCCAGAGTCTTGATTTACTGAGGAATTGTGCCTGGCAACTGTTGGGCTAATGCCTGGAATTGTATTGTGAGATATTCTTTGCCTGCCCCACTCAGCTCCCCAATAAACCCCATTGTTGGTCCCATTACTGAGTCAGCAATGAGTCAGCAATGATTATACGAACCTCTTGCTGCTGGTGGGGCTGTACAGGCACCGGGGGGCTGGGCTACAGGCTCTGCTTTCTGCGGCCATGAGGGGCTGTGCTATCTTACTCCCTCTGGCCCTTTCAGACAGACGTTCCCAGCCCTGTGGCTCCTTTTATCCTCTTTAGATCCACCTCCTCAACATTCAGACACACCTTCCGCACTCATATAATTACACAGATCCTCCCTGGGACATACATACCCTGATATTATTACCTGGTATGTGCCCACGCATGCACACACATTGTTGTTAGGTGCTACTGAGTATGACTCATAGTGACCCCAGGAACAGATCTGAACCCCGTTCTATCCTGCACCATCCTCACAATCTGTGACATACCTGAGCCCACTGCTATGTCAATCCACCCTGGTTGAGGGTCTTCCTCTCCTTCGCTGTTCCTCAACCTCCCCAAGCATGATGGCCCTCTCCACACCCTGTCACGCACTCCTACCCTCACATACACACTGCACATACCCACCCTCTAATGTGCACAATTACACAGCCTTTCCTGCAGGCTCTCAGGAGCATTCAGACATGTTCACACTGTGACACTCATCCTCTCACACACAGCTCTACAAACATGTCTTCTCTCACACATTTACACTGTCTTATAGCACTCGATATATACACACTCCTCTGCACTCAAACAAAACACAAGTCCACACTCTCAAAATTTCACACTCACAAACACACATTCACTCTCTCCCCTCCCCCCCATTGCATGCATACTTGTATTCACACTCACACACACTTGGCCAAGGTCAGTGGAATTGGCCACAAGGAGTCACGCACCCTCACAGCAGGACCTGATCCCTGGGCCCTCCCTACCCCTGCTGGGCATACAGGTCCCAGGTGACTCACAGGCAGGCACCACCCCCCTTCCCGCTGCATTGCCCATCACGCTATTTTTAGCCTGGGGCCCTCCTCTCTGCAGCAGAGGCTCCAAGGAGCCAGGAAGAATCAATGCCTCTACAAAAACAACGATGTTCTAGAATATTAAATGTGGCCAATGTCTTGCTGGTCACAGGGGCCAGCAGAGAGCCCTCGGTTTGCCCCTATCCCAAGTCAGGGCACTCTAGAAGGGGCACGTCACAAAGGTCATTTCTGTACGTGGCCTGTCTTTGCAGCAGTCTGAGACAGCTTCCATTGATCCACATTAGCATCTCAAGGCCATCGATTTCTGCCTTGATGACAGTCCCCCTGGGGAGCTGGGAGAGGCCAGGCTGGATACAGGCCTGGTTATTTAGCAGCTGATGAGGCGGAGGCTCCGGGCCACGGGGGAGGCTCCGGGCCAGGGTGCTGCCCCACACGGGGGAGGCTCCGGGCCGGGGTGCTGCCCCACACGGGGGAGGCTCAGGGCCGGGGTGCTGCCCCACACGGGGGAGGCTCCGGGCCGGGGTGCTGCCCCACATGGGGGAGGCTCAGGGCTGGAGTGCCAGACCACACAGGGGAGGAGGCCCTCACCAACAACATCCTTCTCCAAAGCAGACATTTCTCAGAGCACCAGCTGTGGGTCAGTCTGAAAAGACACTTGGGCCAAATCTTGCCTATGGCATTAACTAAACAGGCATGTTACTGGCCAGCTGAGCAAAACCAGGAAAAACCACAGGGCTGAAAATCTTTGGGGCTGTGATGACAGCCTGCTGGTGTAGGGCTAAACACAAAACCCCTGGTGTGCCTACACCGCGCTCAGTCTGACAGCTTGACCTTCCCCAGTGTTGTCTAGACGCTAAGGAGTAGCTCAAGGTACCGCACACGCACAGTGTCCTGGGGCCTCCCCAGCCAGCAGCTGCAGACGGGTTTACAGAGAGCCCAGGAGGGTGCCCTACTTCACTTAGGCCCTGCCCCTGGTGAGAGGTGGATCTAAACAAACAGACAGACACAGACACACACCCTTCCCACCTCTGCCCCTACTGTCTGCTGCTTCCCCTAGATGCCAGAAGTCATGTAATCTCATTCGCTGGCATGAGACAGCCTGGGCACAGCAAGGCAGCCCAGTCATGGAAGGACAGGTGGGTGGGTGGGTAGACACACTGGTGAGTGGGGCGGGTGGATGAACAGGGTAGACGGATGGATGGTGGTGGACAGACGGGTGGGGGATGGGTAGGTGGACTGGTGAGTGGGGTGGATGGATAGGTGGGGGTGGAGGGGATACTGAGTGGGTGGACGGGTGGATAGGTGAGTGGATGGGCCTGTGGATATGTAGAAGGAAGGATGAATGAGTGGAAGGATGGGTGCAGGAGTGGGTCGATGGATAGGTGAGTGGATGAGGCATGCAGGGAACACCACTAACTCCGTGTGTTTCTCGTCTGTAGAAGGTCACACACTATCTGCTCCAGAGGCGTGGGAGGCCAGTGACTGGGCAGCCCGCAAACAAGCAGGTCCTCCAGCCTCACCCCCACGGCCGTACAGAAAGCCTGGCGGGGAGAGCAGAGCTCTATTCCATAAAATGACCTGGTCCCGGGAGAGGAGCGTGATAAAAGCTGACGTGGGACAAAGTGAAGGTTCACACAGGTACACGATCCATCGCGGGCTCACTGAGTCCTGAAACACCCCCCACCCGCTGCCACTGAACAGGAAAGATTCCCAGAGTCCAAGAGCCCCACAGGGTGTACAGACAGAACACCTTCACAGAGGCAGACCTGCCTGGTGGGTTCCATCTGCTGACATTTTGGTTCTGGGTAAATGCTTTAACCACTGTGCCCCCAGGGGTCTCCTGTGACCCGCAGGGCCGCCCACACTGGCCTCTGGACAGCTCAGCAGAACAGGAGCGTTTCTGCTGACTGCAGCGGCAGCGCCGGCACACTAACCCAGGGCGCCCACGCTGCTGCTGGAGCGGGGCTTTCCGGTGCCTTCCACCTTCCCCAGCCCGCGGCCCCGACTGCAGCTAAGGGACAGTGGCTCCCGGCCCGTCAGCTCCCTCCTCCGGCCCGCACCCTCCACGCTGGTACCCTGCCCGCCCCGGGCAGCCATGCCCTCGCGCTCGGTACCTCCAGAGGCGACGTAGAATCCGCTGGGCGCATACTTGGCCACCACCACCTGATGGGCGTGCTCCGTGTAGATGTCAGCGATGGCGGGGTTCTGCAGGAGAGAGCCGGGACAAGGTCAGCCTATCTGGAGGGACAGACCGACGCGGGGGTGGCGCACACACACAATGCTCAACCCCGAAGCTCAGCAGGAAAACCTAGACACACCCAACTGGAGGTGAGAGAACTCTGGTTATCCTGACTCCATGACCAGCATTGGCTTCAAGTCTGGAATTTGAGGGGATTTTCTTCCCAGAATCCAGACACCAGTGTATTTGTGTAACATACACACCTGAAAACGCCCTGGCTAGGATTCGGGCTTCCTCCTCTCTGGGGGGACCCAGCAGCCGGAGCTGTTATGCTGCTCTCCAACTCTCCCAAATGGGACCCCGTGTGCAAATGCCGTCACAGCCTGGGCTGCCCGTCAGAACAGAGGACCGAGTGGGCGAGGAGCTGGTCACCTGGCTGTGTCCCATACACCTCCAGTTAAGACGGAGGCCACCACTGGGTGCAATGTCACAACCCAGCAACAAGGCATTAACACTTTACTAGAAGCACTGAGTCCCTCTTCCCCGGCCTCCTCACCCAACACTTCTCCAAAAGTGCAATCAGCAAAATGCCCAGAGAAGCTCCTGAGTGTGGCCCGCACTAGAGCTTAAATTCTAGCACGTGAGGTGTGTGGAAGGCGGTGGTGGTCCATTGTGGGGTTCTGACGGTTTTGAGTCTTAAGTTCAGATGTCACTTGCTTATATGACTGCTGTGGTGCTTACTGACCTTCAGACCAGCCGAGGCTGCTCTCGGCAAAGCCCATGGCAAAGTGCCCTGAGGAGCAACACAACTGAGAGCAGACCAAGGGTGTTCGCTCACAGGACTAGGGGACTTGACTGGAGATTGACCTACAACAGCCCACAAGACGTGTCATCTGCTTTACTCAAGGTTGAGCTCCTGGTGTTGTCCTGCGGGCCCCTGGTCAAGAAATCACGACACATACAACTACTCCTCACAACCAGGTGACTAAACTCGAGAATCCAAGCTGTAACCTCTCTTAGCCTGCTGGCATGTCTGGTCCAGTCACTGTCCTCTCCGCTCCTGCAGTCCTGTGACAGTGATGAACCCCGAGGGACCGGCCTCGGGCTGCCAGGCCTGTCCTGGGTCATGTATAATGGACCCACCACCTTGGGGTCCACCACTCTTGTTTTGGGTATATGCTGATGGGTTCCCTCATCTGTGTCATCTGATGGCCATTTGTGCCATTTGGGTTTTACTGTCTTTTCCTGTTCATGGCCTGATGGTGGCGTAATAAGAACTCTTTGCAGGTTGCTAACCAAAAGGTCAGCAGTTCAAATCCATCAGCTGTACTAGGGAGAAAGATGGGCGGTATCATCCCTCAACAATTTATATCCTGGGAAACTAGGAGAGCAAGGTTTTGGTTTTCCAGGGCCAAGGATCCAAGAATATGACAGTATTATATGGCAGTCTCAGAAGGTTCAGCGACGTACAGCTGCATATAATGACCAAAATATGTCTGTCTGTCTGTCTCACACACACACACACGCACGCACGCACGCACGCACGCACGCTGGGAAAACAGCAAGGGACCTCCTATTCAACGCCGGGTTGTCTCAAACCTTCAATTGGTAAAAACCCTGCTACCTTCAGATCCCAGTTAAGTCAAGTGCAACCCGAGGCGGCCTGCCGCCCTGCCCTGCTGTCGGCAGCCTAGGCCCCCTGTTCACGAAGACAAGGAGCTTCCCATTCTCCAGCCTGAGGACATCTGGAGCCGGGAGCCTGTCTGTCTTTCTGCCACATCAACGGCCCGACCTCCACCCACCTCAGCCCCTCTGAGCCTCCACTCCCTTCTCTCTTCTGCCCGCATCCACCTCCGATCCCCCTCCCTCCACCTCTTCTCCATCCCACCCCTTGACAAGATTACAGAGGCTTATGCAGCACTCGGCCTCCTAAGCACAGGCCTCCCCTGAACCCCAGGCCACCAGACAGAAACCAGAGGAAGACACTAAATTCTAGCCCTGTCCTCAAACCCCTAAATTAACTGCCGGCCACATCCGTCTGACCCTGTGTCTCTAACGTTGTCACCTCTGCCAGTAACATGTTGCCTGGCCTTGCTGACGCCGACTGTCCGTCAGGCCTGCGGTCCACTCTGCTGCCTGACCGCCCAGAGCTCCGAGCTCAGCCCTGAGGCTCTTTGCGGGAGGTAACTCTCTTCCACCTGCTGCGGCTTTTCTATGACCTGTTAATGGCTCATGCCGAACATGGGCCAGTGGGTCAACTGTGATTTATAATCGGCCCGCAGGGTGGACCAGAACTGGCCCCTGGAGTTTCCAAGGCTGTCCATCCTTAGAACCACGCTGCCCACAGGAACCACTGACCTTGTGGTCATGTGGTCAGTATGGGAAACAGCATGGGTGCTCAAAAGGTGTTGGTACGTTTTTTGGTTTTTTTTTTAAAGTTTTCATAATCTCTTTTACCCTAAAACCGAGCACTGAACATTTCCATGGGCACAGAGTAGACAATGATAAGTGATTCCTCAACAGGAATTCCTTTCTGAATAAACATTTGCTAGCAAAATTAGAAATGTGCCTAGTTTCCAAATTTGCTGACAAAAAGATGCACATCATCAGTCTTTTGGGAAATCACCATGAGACCAATTGGCAGCATCATGACTGATGGAGAATTTCAGCTTGATCGGCTCCACAATCAACACTCTTGGCACTCTTGGAATTAGGAAATCAAAAGATGAATTGCATTAGGAAAATCTGCTGTCAGAGACAGTGCCAGAGTGCTCAAGAGCAAGGATGTCAGTCTAGAGACCAAGGTGCACCTGATCCAGGTCATGGTCTTCACAATTACTTGCTATACAAGTAATTATCAGAGAACTGAACAATAACCAAGGATGACAGGAAGAACTGATACCTCTGAGTTTGGTGCTGAAATACCACAGACTGCCAAGGGAACTAACAGATCTGCCCTGGAGAGGGTGAAACCAAGCTGTTTCTAGGAGGCAAGGATTTTGAGGCTCTATCTCACATACTTTGGGAATTTAGTCAGAAAGGACCAGTCTTTGGAGAAAGATAGGCTTGCAAGGATCGAGGCATGGTGCAGGAGAGGAAGACCCCAGATGAGAGATGCACTGACACAGTACCTGGGGCAATGAGGGTGGATTTGTCAGAGACAGTGAGATTGGGTCAGGACAGAGCAGGGTCAGAGCTACTGTGCATAGGGTGGCTATGAGCTGTAGCTGACATGACAACACATAACCACACCACCACGAGACCAGTCACTAGAACTCTGTACCTCTCTAGTGGTGAGGAATTGCACTGTCAACCCAGAAGCACAGGGCTGGATCCACTAGCTGCTCTGTTGGAGAAAAATGGGCAATCTCACCCCAGTGGTTAAATGCATCTGAAAACTCCCTGGAGGGGCAGCTGTGAGTCAGTTCCGACTCGCCAGCACACCACAGTCACAGAAGCTACGAGCATGGCTAGCATCCAGGCTGCCAGCAGCAAGTACTGACCAGGACGGAGCACTGTGGGAACCTCACAGGCTGCTGCTGAAGGCTGCAGTGCACAGCGAGACAGCCACTGAGGCAGACGCACAGGGCCCGACAGTCACTAAGACAGTACAGAGCATGGTCGGTTACCACCACAGTAAATACACATTGCCAGGAAGTCGGCAAGTTATTTACCCAAGAGACACGAGGAAAAACTGTCCATGCGTGGACGCGCACAGCTTTCCTCCTAAGAGCCCCAAGCCAGGGACCCCCTACTGTCCACAAGAGCCGAGTGCAGACACACAGCATGGACGGCCCCTGTGTGTTAACAACTCAGCGTAAAAAGGGGCGCACTGCTAACACCTCCAGAGTACGTGGCAAGGCCAGACACCAAGGGCCACATGTGGCCCCACGCCTTCGTAAGAAACCCTTGCCAAGGCAAGTCCAATATGAATGGAAGCTGAGGCAAGGTGAGGGCCTGGGGTGGACAGGCTGACCCCAGGGCTAACGGGCACAACAGGCTGACCCCAGGGCTAACGGGCACAACAGGCTGGCCCCAGGGCTAACGGGCACAACAGGCTGGCCCCAGGGCTAACAGGCGCCACCTGCAGGGAGGGCATGTACGGTGACTGTGGGATGGTAAGTGGACAAAGAACACAGAGAACCACAGAATCATCCACGCCCGTGAACTGTGGTGCTGGAGAACTGACTATCCCGTGGGCTGTCTGCCATCAGAGACAACAGCTGTCTTGAAGGCAGTGCTCCTTTGAAGTCACCATGCTGAAGCTTCGTCTCACTTTGCCTATGTTCTTGGGAGGTGCCTCTCCTTGGGCTGGGAAAGGCAGAGTCAGTGAGAGGAAGACCCTCGTCAAGCCAGCTTGACCCAGGGCCCAACAATGGGCCTGAGCAGGACAGAGATCACAGGTGACGCAGGACAGGATGGGTAGGTTGGTTTCTGACTGGGTTTGTTTAGTCATAACTGGCTGATGGCGCCTAACAACCTGCCTATCAAACTTCAGGTTGCACTTGAAGTTGACAGTGAAATATGATAATTACAATCCAACAGGAGCAGCAATTTCAGAAACAGACAGACCCTGAGTCCTAGATCCCATTTGTCTAACTGACCCACTCCAGCAGATTCACTCCTCAGACTGTCACACGGACAAGTCCCCAAAGAGGAACCTGCGGACAGCCCAGCCCATAAGCCAACTGTTAATGTGGTTTACAGGTGTTAACACGGTACAGCCAAACCCAAAAGGCCTGATGGTTTGCTTCCCAACTGACAGCTGACTGTCCAATGATTTTCAGACACAGACAGGATCTTGCAGGACAGGAGACTGTCCGTCTTTCTCCCATAGTGGTGGCTGTTGTTAGGTACCGTTGAGTTGGAACTGACCCATAGCTGACCCTCCGGCAGGTTTTCAGAGGTAGTTAATCACACAGGAGACAGATGTCTATTCTTCTCCCTCGGAGCAGCTGGCCTTGAACCCTGTGCCTTCGGAACTGCAGTGCAGCTTCCTGCCTCTAAGCCACGAGAGCTCCACACT